TCATCGTTTGCATTAATAAATTCATTATACAATTCTATATTGTCAAGTAATTCTATTTTTAATTTAGAAATTTCATCTATACGTATATTTTGTAGGGCTGGGCAGACTAAGAGGAAATGTCCAGTATTCTCGTCTGCATTGAGATTGCACAGGGCACATTTTTCATTATTATTTGTGGACGAATTTGATGTTTTGGAATTTAATGGTAGCGTATTTGATCTAAGTTTAAATTTCAATGCAACCCCCTCAAAGTCCGTTTTATCAATAAGGTAATGTTGTAATACAGGATGGGGTGTTAAGGATGCATAAACTGAAAGGGATGATTTGTTTTGAATATCATCTCTCCATTGATTAATCCAAATATCATCCAATTTTCTTAAAATAAGCGTTTGAGAATAACAACATCCCTTGTTATTAAGTAGTACATTGAAAATATCTTCAGACTCGCTTCTTATCAAAATATCATATATACAATATAGAAATTTATATCTTAAATCTTTAAAATCACAATTGAGTTGTAACATAGCAAGAAGTAGAAATTTGGGCCAACGATGTGTGCTCATTTCAATTATCCTGCTGAAGAATTTCACACGGGCAATTTTATGTAGCTCATTGATGGGAGACCATCCGAGTTCCCCATATAATGCGGCACAACGTGTGTTCCTAGGTGCTTTAAGTTTATACCGCGCCATTTGAAGTTGTAAGCGTTCCAATTTTGTTATATCAAGATTGCTTAAAGTACACCATACAGAACAGCCGTAATTTAAGGAAGGAAGGGCAACTGACCACCACAGAATATCTCCATAGTAAACTCTGTTAAAATTGTCAAAGTTACTAATAATTGATTTTATATATGCAATTAATCTTTGACCTTTTTGGATGACATTATCAAATTGCATATGGTCATTTAATTTCCGTGATATAATTACACCCAGATATTTGTAAGATTCTGCTTCTGTGATATAACCCTCCCATAATTTCCATTTCTTTTCTTTATTAACACGTTTTCCCATAACCAAAACATCGACTTGTCAAAGTTAAAATTTAACTTCCATTCTTGTACAAATTTACCTGCAACGTCTAGCATTTTTTCCATCTCGTTTTCAGTGTTAGCTAAAAGCACAACATCGTCAGCCCAAAACAGGCTACCAACCCATACATCATTGATTCTGGTGCCAAGATCATTTGACTTTAGTATTTTCGTAAATTCATTAATAAATATACTAAAAAGTACAGGGGATAATACACACCCCTGTTTCACCCCTTGATCATTATCAAAAAAGTCTGTGTCAATTGATCCAAAACAAACCTTTCCCTTAACATTTTCATACAATTTATCGATAACTCTCCAGACCTTACCCCTAATACCTGATCTCATATTGCTTTCATTAAACCATCCCTCCAAACACTATCAAAAGATTTTCGAAAGTCCAGGAAGGCAATATAGGTGTTTTTTCTTTTGCTGGAGACGGCAAGCAGCTATACTTTTCAGAGTAAAGTGTGGTCCTCATACCTATGTAAAGGTCGAAAGCCTCCCTGGACTTCCGAAAGGGCATCATTATTTTCAAGATAAGTTGAAATATTTTTGGCAAGTATTCTATTAAAGATCTTGGACACGCAAGAAGTCAAAGATATGCCTCTATAGTTATTAAAATCTTTGCAGTCTTCTTTCTTGTGAATAGGGATAATAAATCGATATAAAAGTATATGCATGAACACGAACATACAAGTTTTATCCGTTCGTCAACCTTTGTTGTTCTACTCTTTAATTACAAGCTATTTATATAAGGATGGCCTGCTTTGTGGATTTTGGGTAGGACATATATATATATATATAATTGAATTTTATCGTTCGAGCTGATTAACCTTGCAATATGGAACAATAATATAAGTTACGTTTGTTCTACTTGGATATTTGAGGCACTCAAACTAACATATTTAAACCTACTATTTGCAGGTCTACGTAGATGATTGTTTCCAAATGGAATAAAGAAACATACCCCGGATGACAATATTAGCATACCAACAACGCATCTATCACCAAACCTGAAGGGAAAATCCAATTGAACATCATATATGTACTTCAATCAAATTAAAAACCCTCTTTCTTTAATATGAGAGTTTGAAAATTTTTTTTTGTAATAGTATAATAGTAAAACATTGCTATATTATCTTTATCGTCTGCTAAAGTACAATATATAAAATATAAAAAAACACATTTGATATATATTTTTGATAATTTTTTTTTAAACCACTATAGTCAGTGCCCCTTTCAGCTTAGTTGATATTTAGGGGCCCTGTTAAACTTTGTAGACTAAATCTTTTTACGAGGCTTAGGCAGTGGGAATGTTTTTAGTCTGTTCTGTTACAGAATTTGAACCCATGAGTATGTGATTAAAAGGCAAGCATCCTAACCATCAAGCTACAGCTCCACTCCAAATAATGTAAAATATGTGAGTGTGAGGAGCCTCCATTAGAAATATGTGAGTGCATGTGGACTAGCAGTGGCATGCAAAGTGAGGTTAGTATCAGGAGATACTGTATATTACTCAGGCGGAGCAGATAGAATACACCAACGCGTAATCCGGTAATCGAGAAAATGGTAATGGTTAGGTTATTCTCAGAATATCGAAAGCTTACAATAATACATTAGTAAGTTATAAATGTTTGAATGTACTTGGTGTTTTTACTTACATCTAGCAAATGCAATAACAAATGCATGCTGATTGGTCGGTCGAATCGGGGAGCCTTCCCGATTGAATCAGTGAGTGCTACGCAGTGTAACGATTCCACTAAAAACGCTGTAGCGACAGTGTAGCGATTTTAAAGAAACAAATAGCTTACGCTAGTCAAGGTTTCTTCCAATTTCAACGTACACAAATACAGTAAGAACGAAATTCAGTTCAACAATGTTATAAAACAACTAATAATATACAGTATAATAATAATAATAATAATAATAATAATAATATCTGTAATAATAATAATATTAAGCATGAATAAGTTAAATACTATTTTTCAAACAGATGCAGCAAAAATAATAAATGTAGTACAGCATTGACTGTTAAAAGCGTTTGACTTACCAATTTGAAAAGAGCTTAAGCAGCAATACTGAACTTATTCCCAATATGGCAAGTAAAGCCATGATGAGACTTATATTACGAACTGCTAATGCACGACTCCATCCAAGTATATGCATAACGTAGGGGGAGGCAAGGCTAAGATATAATGTCCAACATATTAATATAATTTAAGGAAATGAATGTCTTCTTGACATTTTATTTTTAATTTTTAAAAGCATTTCTAGCCATTCATACCAGACGTGCAATAGGTAGGAAACATATTGAATATCAAATCACAAGATAGATATTAAATACAAAAAAAAATCCTACCTTCATACTCTCCGTCAGGGTCATCTGGGTCATCGGCTATATTAATGTCATGGAAAACATAAATAATGAGAAGGAAGTTTATGAGCGCCATCAACGCGGTTACTAAAGAAGGCATGGTGTACATGTTGATTCGAAGTTTAATAGTATCCCATTGCACCCATTCTTCACCAAAAGGAACGAAAGCACTCTGGAGAACTGAAATTTAACGCAAATTAAAATTTTCAAATAAAAAAAAAATGTTTTTTAAAGGAATATTCGGTTCCTTTTGAAAAGTTCTTGGAGTTTGGATAGTAATTTTTATGTACAGGACTAGTATGTTTAAGAGCAAACACGTATGTATTCATCAGCAGTTACTGGTTTGCTATTAAATATTACGATTAAAAAAAAAGCCTATCCCAGCTTGGTCGACAGAACGAAATTGATAGGCAGGTGGATTTAGCGGCTACTGTACTTGGCCAAATCTCGGAAAAAAGTACCGGGCCCAAGTGATTATTATAAGTTGACCTACCTTACTTTTTAAAAAAGCAAAACATCAGTCGTCAGTGGCGGACCGAATTTGAAATAGAAGATGCAGGGAAGGACTTCCAAAGGGTTCACTCACATCAGCCCGCCCATGGTCAGGGCTGAGGTAAGAACTTAACTTAAATTTGAATATTTTAGGGGGCGGGCCAGTCGGCTGCCCCCACCCACCTTAAATCTGCCACTGGCTATGAGCCTTTCGTAAAAGGCAGGAATCTAATGCATTTACAAGTGGACCTCGGTGAACTTCTACTATAAATTATAAACGGACCTACCAGGCATAATAAGTTGACTTACCAGGGCCTATGAGAAATCCCAGCGTCTGAGATGCCATCAAATGAACTGTTGCATCTGTTCTTTCCTCTAATGTTGTTGCCGCCGAAACGAAAGTTCTTGTAATTGCAATGCAACCTATTATTAAACAAAATCATTAAATAAAACTAACTAAAGATGAATTTCCTAATCTACAGTTTTTAACAAATGCATCATGGCAAAAAGACGTTTGATTTCACTTTAGACAGTCTACAATAATTTCTCCGGTAGACTGTACCACACAAATTAACTAAATAAAATCGAAAATTGTGCAAACTATTAAAAGATGGAGTAACACTGTGTGTTTATTGTTGAACTGATAGAATTCACTCCCTAGACCGGAAAAATAGGCCTATTATTGTAAAAAGTAAATAAAAAGACCAATCAATAAAATACGTAGCAACAATCAAGTATGAAATTAATACTCGGTTGCTTTCGTTCGTTATTATATTATGCCAGTTATCAATCTAGATCTCTAGTTCTCGAACATTTTGAGGAGAACTAAGACCTAAATCAGATAGCTGGCATGTTGGGAGTTCTACTCCCTTGAACATCCAACCTAGCATCACTATGATTAATTCTGAGGCGTGTGGGTATTATTGAAGATAAAGAGGCCCGGAAATTGTATTTCTGTACTTTAAAAATGCTTTTTTAACTTGGAAACTAGATTAAATAATTATTTTTGAAAAAAACATAAAATGGCATTGGTGCATAAAGCATACATCATCAATGAGATACGAGAATGTAATAATAATAATAACTAGTCATAACCATAATCTCTCTAATACCGCATTCTGAGCTAGGACAAAATTTGACATTTAATGTAACAGCAAACTTTGGTTGGCGATCGGCTATTGGATCATTTCTCCATCAATGTAGTTTATATTAGTTTTCGATTGTGAAGTGAGACTCGAGCCGTAAATTTCCGGTTGTGCGAACCGCCGTGGGCGGATTCAAGGGAGGACGGAGTAGGCACGGGCCCCTTACATTTTTAAAAATTATAAAAAGAAATTGAGAAAAAGGAACATATTAATTAAATTCAGGCCTGAGAGTGCAATATCATGCCACATCAAGGTGCTATTCATTACCATAAATGTTGTTACCTCAGCCCCCAACCATGGTGCAGCTGAGGTGGTCTACTCTCCATCGTGTGAAAGTTCTTCGAATTCCATGAACAGTTGGCGATTTGGTCGAGGCACGACAATTAAGTGTTTGATGAAATGGATAATAAATCTCACGACACGACCTGCTCATTCTATGATTTGTCAGTGACAAGGCCTGACAGGTTTGGTTGCTAGCGACTTTGCCAATTTCAATATAGAACTTCATATTAATTTACAGACCTGACACTTTTTTAAAAGCGCTTACATTTTCTAGACCGAAATGAATTAAGAGGTCCTTGTGATTCATAGCAAACATTTGCCACATTTTATAGATGTTTTCATGAAGTTTTCTTTTTAGTCTTGGAAAAGATATGGTGCCCTGGGTGACGTTGAATCATAGTTTAAATACCAAGGTTTTACATGGAATGATCTGGTAAACAACGGAAAGTCAGTAAGCGAAGAGCATTAATGGTGATAATCACATTTAACTTTGTAATGTCTAAACATATTTAAGTTCATATTCACCTGCTGAAGTTCCTTGTATTACTCGTGAGATTAGCATGTAAATATGGTTATTATGCTTCGGCAGATAAAGATACGCATACGTCACACTGGCTACTATACCCAAGAATAATGTAATGATGAGCGGTAGCTTACTGCCGTATCGGTTCGCCCACACGCCGCATATGGGTGCAACAATCAGTGTTGCTAAGCTGTTACTTGCTATAATCCAGCCAAGCATCTTGGTAGTGGATTCACGGTGGATCTAAACATGAGAAGAACATGAATTTAATATTTTATGAAAACACCTCCATAAGTGATATAAAAATGATATATCACATTAAAAAAAAACCTTTCTCAACTATAGTCTTACTTTAATGAATTTGACGTACAGAAAAATATACTCTAGAAAGTTACCATATTAGGTTCAATTTATATTATTGTACAGATAAGACAAAAACATACTACTTGTAAATAAGGCCAAATGGACGGAATGACCATAGAATAACCGACAGCCTCGAAAAATATAGTGAAGTACATAACACGTATAGACCACCACCTCCTTCGATAGTCCGATTCTATTTCAGTCAAAGGTTGCATTGATCCATAGCTAAGAGAGAAAGAAAAACAAGACAATTATTTTTGTTAGTATACTATATTTATATTCATTATTTTCTATACATTGGTATTGTTTATATTATAGACAATACAAATTGTAAACCTTTGTATAATGTTTTAATATAATTTTTTTTGCAGGTTAGTCATTAGAACAGGATATGTACACAAGTTCAATGGATTATATATACCGGTATATATAATTGGGGAACCAACCATTTGTTAATATCTATTTACAACATTACCACAAGACGGTTTAGAAAAAAAAAATAGTCACCTGGCCCTCCTAGGGTTAATAGGGGGTTGGACTATAGGCTTATTACATGTATCCTTAAAAAATATTAACAGAAACCAATAATGTAAATACAGAACAAAAACCAGGCGGAAGTGCGAAGAAGTGCCAGATCACAGACGAAAATTACATCAGATTCGTGAATGATCCGAGCAAAAATGAAGTGCATGGGTGAAAGCCGAAAGGAAGTCTATGGACCGAAAGCGTCACTTAGACCGCCAAAAACCACAGTTGAAATATGGAACTTGAATGTCGTACTATGTACGCGGCTGGAAAATCAGCAGAAATAGCAAGTGAGATGAGGAGCCTTCATATAAAATATGTGAGTGCGAGGAACCTCCATTAGAAATATATGTGAGTGCAGGTGGACTATACAGTGACAGTGGCAACGTGGAGTGACATTTATGGAATGGAATCCGGTAAACGAGAAAATGGTAATGGTCGGGCTATTCTCATGAATGTATCATGAACATCGGTGATTACCACTATAATCATTTGCCCTATTATTTAAAAGAAGCTAACAGTAATATAACATTTAATTAGAAACACTAAACATTGTACATACGAGAAATATCATAACAGACTCTCGTGACCTTCGATAGTTTTTGACAATAGGAGTATTCATCAGTTAAAATTTATTGAATAATAGATCTAATTGATTTCAATATTACAATGTCAACACTCGCGGGGTCTATACCAGATTATGACAGTTATTTGAAAATATATATCTTGTAATATTCGGCCTATTTTAAGAAAACCCATTTTTAAAGATGAACACAATATTGTTCATCGAATAATTATACAGGTGTATCAAGCTAGCTGAATACGTATTCACAAATCAGATTTATTTCTCAACAAAGCATCGTTTCCAAGCTATGATAACAATATTTGAACAGTAGTTAAACGTTGTATGTGTATCTAGGTATTTTCGCGTTCAACGGTGTCGACACATTTTGTGGAAAGTGTTAGGAGAGTATTGTATTTACCCATATCTATTAACGGTAATCATGGATGATCGATTAACGCGCACTGACACTCAGGGCAGGCGACCGTTTATATGCTGAAGCATTGCGTAAACCACATAATGCCTCAATTAATATTTTACAATAATGCATAACGAATACGTTTAATGTGGATTACAAAAAGAAATAGAGAATAGGCCTATAATTCTGTAAAACGGTCTTAATTGTGTTCTCTTCTATATCAGTAATGGACACTATCTTCAAAATACGAAACTTTAGGCCTAATGTTTATCTTTCTGCTTCATAGCAAGAATGATCATGATAAATTCGATTGGGGTTGTAAAGGTTCACCATTAAAAGGAAAACACTAGCAAATAATTAATTGATTTACTATTTCATTTTTTATTTGATTTTTGTAGCCAATAAACAAATACATCCTTGAAACATCTCTCATCTTGTATCTGTACCATTCGTGAGTCTGTACCTAAACTCATTACCATGATCCTACGTGCAATTTCGTTTATTATAAACAAGGTTCAAAAATATATAAAATACAACAACAACTTTAAAGTTTGTTAAGTCATAATTACTAACTTAGATTTAAAAACACATGCATATTTTGATATTGGCTTGCATATTTTCATACGACTTTATTTTTTTTTTTATTTGAATAAATTATACATATGTTTTTGAAAACTATTAACTTTCAGCAAACATTGTCAACTACTGCTAAAAGAAAAATGCCACATTTATTCATGTTTTTGTTAGAAAATCAATCATTTACATAATCTACTGTATAAATCATTTAATAAAGTCGATGATTCCTGTGTTTAAACAGAAAATACACGTATAGAGACGGATGGCAATGAATAAGGATCATGGCACCCTATCAACCTCTATTAATTACTACCATAACAAAATTGCCTAATAATAATGCTAATGTATATGACGATGGTCATCAGATGGCGATAATGATGGTGAAAATAATGTATGGTAGTGATGATAACGATTGTGAAAATGACGGATATTGATGATTATGATTATGAATAACACGTATATACTTTTTTATAAAGCAGGAGAAAGTGGAATGTGAATTGTTATCAATAATTTGTATTATAAAGTTTAATAATTCTGATATCATTTCATTTAATTTCAATTTCAGAAAGTACAGTTACAAAGCATAAACTCTAAGTATCAGCCATCCACCATGTGTATAAGCGCGCAAACCTGGACCTCTAACGGGTGCAAAGGAATTAAAAAGACAAAAGATATAGAAAAAGATGACGACGACGACGACAACGACGACGAAGATGATGATGACGATGATGATAACGATGATGATGACAAAGACGATAATGATAATGTTGATGATGGTGAAGACGACGACGGTGACAAAACAAAAGACCAAGAAATTTGTTGAGGCGCATAAAATATATACACTAAACAAAAAGAAGTAAATGATTAGTATCTTGGATGTTAGTCTTCAAAACACCAGTCTCATCTAATACTAGCGCATCTCAGTTTGTCACCATACAAATTCATTACATATTACAAAGTTCTATCCGATACAGTAACAACCGAATTAATGACGCATTAATAATAGGTCTGTTCCTATTTCTGTCAATGGTATGTTACTCACTAATACCTGTTGCTTGCTTGGGCTTGCGTATTCCTGTCCGTATATTCATCTTCTCTATCGGACGTCCCAGAATGAACCTCCGAGGTTGTCGCTGACGAAGACTCGTCCCTTTGGTCCATCGTACTTTATCCTTCCCAAATCACTCCCATTATCTCGTAGAACGCATTACAACCAAGCTGTTCTCGCTCGAGAAGGTCCACGCGTTTGGTGTAACAACAGAATAGCATCCGATAAAACCAACGTTAAATCACAATAACATAAGCAACCTGATGCTTTTGCTTGTGACCTTATTACGTATACGATTATCGACTGGTCACTGATTCAATTGGTTGTTGTCACATTTTTTGTATACGTCTATATTGTTTAATATTGATTGATTTCAGATCAAGCCCTGTGATTCTAGTTAACATCACATCAGTCCTATTTTGGTACAATTAATATCACGTTTCTCCTGGGCAGAGAAATCGTAAGTTAATTCAAAAGCGAGTAGTGAACGCATTTCACCGAATTTGATATGGTGTTTCATTTTGGAACTTTTTGGGATTTTTGGAATTTTAGGCTCTTTGGAATTTTATCTCCTTGTCATTGGGATTATACGTGTATGCTGCACATAGGCTAACTGCCATTTATACTGTTCGACAGTTTCATTTCTGTGGTTAAAATGACAATTGATATTTATTGTAGTATTAAAGCGAAGTGTGATGAATAAATATCGTTCTATAAACACAGAAATAAAAGTGCAAGAAAAACTAAGAGCTAAGAATACGTTGCATGCAATATTATATTTAAAATATGTGCAAAATATTGGTTGATTATATGTTAAATAGTCGCACGCTATTGTTTGATATTGTCTAATAATTAAATATTCTTTTCTGCCTTACGAATTTTGTTAGCTGGATGACTTTATAGACATTTTTGATAGGTTGATAAACATTATCAAGACAATTTCATACGCCTGGTAACTTGGTTTCGTTTTAAAATACATGAGGATTGAACTCTGACGTTAACTGAAATTCTCCGAATTAAATTAGATAGGCCTAATGCATATACATTTTAAACTGGTTTTAATTTTCAAATCAAAAATTTATCTTAATAATATTTTTGTGTCTCAACCTCAGTATTTTCAACTATTTTTAACAACTTCGACATTTTAAAAGTTTTCGGATTTTAAAACCGTTCAAACTTCTGAACATCTTAAAGGCTGGTTTGCAGTTTATTGTTTTGTGACTTTTTGTATGTTGTGTATGACGTTTTCTTTTCTTTTTTTTCTGAACGTTGTGTATTTTTTTTTCAAATATTTTTAGAAAATGTTCAGCATGTACACTCAGCAAAATTTTCGAACATGTTTTTAACTGCGTGTTTGACGAATAAATCGAAATTTAAATTAAAATTGTATACATTTTATTTGAAATTCTAGGACGCGGTATTAGTGAAAATCTTAACAGTATAATTATACATAAGACATTTTCTTTGAAATGCACGTGAACAAGTGTTCTAATATATATTAAACAATTATGTTATTATCGTATTAATAAGCAAATCTCGTTAGAAATAGTTTTTGTACAGTCGGTGATTTTTTAAAAACCTCTAACCTGCAACCTCTATCAAGGCGAATATCTTTACTATCTAATAGTATATTGTATTGCACATCAAAATACAGCTACAACAAACTTTCATACACAACTGATAGCTGTGTTGTTAATATTCTTATTAAGATTGCATAAGCAGTGTAGTACTAGCAATCTGTTAGTCATGGTGGAGGAATATATGAAAATGTCAGCTTTGAATTTTTACTCAGGATGGTCGCCAGTACCGCTGACCTGAATTCAAGTATTAGGCCTATTTTGTCCGCGTTTTTCACATCGATACTTCATCAGAAAATGATTGATGTTATCTGATTATTCTTTTACTCCTTTGTTTTTTCGTCAGTTTGTTTTGTTATCTATAGACCTTCCAACGGTTCGGATGTTCTACCATCTGATTCTGAGCCATGGCCAGGAGACTAAATTTGCATTCTCTTTGATTTCTTACGGTTTTCCTTTAAATAATTGCATAAAATGCAATAAATAATTCAAGATTCAAGAAACTTTATTGTCTGTTAAAAATATATACAGAAAATTGGTTTTACACGGCAAAATGAAAAAGTTGAAAAGAGGTTACATAGAAACATTACCGATGAAAATACAATTTTAAAAATAAACACCAAACACTAAAAGGAGAATAAAACGTGAAGATACTTTAAAATAGAGCAATATTTTTAAGATTTGCTAAAACTGTTGATACTACGTTATAACTTTTGAAAATTACGGAATAATAAATCGCCTATCACAGATTACTTTTTAAATGTTACTATGATCCTAAAGCATGTTAACTCATCACTTCTTGTATACATTACAAACACATCGTTTATAAAAAAAAAAAATACTACATGAAAATACTACATGTTTGGATTCCATGAGCAATAAAAACAAACATGATGGTAAAAATGTTACCTTTTAAAGTCTCGGTTTAGATCTGAGTCCGAGAATTCGTGGTACCATGTATGGTAAAAATAAATGTTCACATTTGTTAGTATTGCGTCTTTCGAAGCATTTTAAAATTGTAATATAATTAATTACTGAGACAATGCTTAATATTTTATTAAATAACACTTATAAAAAAATAAGCAGGGCTTCTTCAAAAAAATCCGCGTCTCAGATCATGTTTTCTGCGCCATATCAATAGTATATTAACATATCTGTTTCAGAAATTTACTTCAAGCATATTGAAATTGTTAATCAGTTGTATGCTCAAATGCCCCGCCCCCAACTTTGTATGTCATCGAGATATACCTATCCACAACATCATTTTGAAGTTCTGTTGTCTAAATGAGTTTTTGTATTGAAATTTGATTGAAAGTGACATAGTTTATTTTAAATATTTTTTTCTCATAATTATTCTCTCTATTTTTAATACACAAAAGCACACTAATTTCACGGTTAGGAAAAATACTATTATAATTGCAATTAATGTAAAGTACTAGATCCTCTTGTAATAATATATAATTATGTAATCATGTTAGGAATATTTTTTATTCATTTCAAATACATTCTACCATTTTAATCATTTCGTCATTTTTGCTAATTTCTGAGCATCAATAAATGATTACTTCTTTCTGAATTGAATCATAAATCGTACTTGATTGATCTGAAATGCATGTAGTTACATTTTAATTAGACAAAATTGTTTAAAAATTGTTTGTAGTTTTGCTTCATATAATTGTTCACCTCCTTATAATTGTCTAAGCTATTTAGACTTAACATTGTTAATTTATTTTTTTTATATAAAATTAGTGCAACCTACAGGCAAAATATTTTTTATTTCATTATTAAAAACACAATTCTGTCACACCTAGGGTTTGTAAATTGAATAGTTGAGTTTCCCGTAGAAAGAACAGTTTGTACACATCTTGTTTTAGCAAAGAAGCTAAATCTAATAGGACATGAATTATCAAATAATGGTTAGTTTATATCCTGGGGCAGTCTGTTTTTTTAATGCAACGGCCCTGGTGTAACACACGTCCCGCAGAACAGTGGCAGCCAGGTTTGCATTGCATGTACCAGCATGTTGGTGTGCTCTTATTATCATAGCACGTTGGCTGACATTCCTGCGCTGGTCCACATTCATCGTACACAAAACTAGGTTCGCAAATCACACCTGTAATTGGAATTGAGAACGGGGTGAGCATCACCGATAGAAACCTCATATAGGCCTAAACAGTGTGGAAGATCTTCTACTTACTTTAACGTTGATAAAGACAGAAGGGGCAACCTTCAATTATTGTATTTCGACACATTGTTGATATATATATATATATATATATATATATGTATATATATATATATGATACGATGAAGATTTGCCTCAAAATTATTTGAAAACAACAGGATACTCGTTTAATACCTGTTGTTTCAAATATGTCTTGATCAAATCTTCCTCGTATCTCCAGTTTTTATATAAGTATTTATACTGTATTTGCCTATGCAACACATTTAATATATATATATATATATATATATATATATATATATATATGACATATTAAGAAAATTTTGTCATATTTTTTCTTTAAATTTGTTTAACTTAAGATGTTATGTGCTGAAAACACTTCACTACTGATTTTACATCACACCTTTCTGTTAAAGAATACTGTTTGTCGTAAAATTTGGAAACACTGCCTAACATTCAATTAAAATATAAGTTAGGTCTAGCTGATTTAAAGTGACCAACTAATTTTGCAATAAGTATATAACTTCAGCTAATGCCACAATAGAAATATACTTACTGCAAGTTGATGGCTTGACATTGTAATTTTGAAGATTTACATTTTGTCGTTGACATTCTAAAACGTATGCTGTTAAGGATTCGCAGTAGCACGGATTATTCAGGCCACACACACAAGAATCCTGCATACACAGTGAGTAGTAGTCTTGAGGGTCGACATACTGATGGCAATCTGTAAGTGGACTTGTCAAAATATCCTGGCACTCAGACCGCGCGTACTCAATCACATGTTGGTGTTTCCCAATACACGCTGGAAATTGTTTATTGTTGGCAGTGTTGATAATGATATTTTCATTTATGCTTTTGCTTTCTTTTTTACAGTGGGTGTAACCTTCAACCTTCCAGCTGTGTACCAGCTCCTTGGTGCTTTTTGCTGGTAACATTTGTCTTGTCATAGTATCATCCATTTTGTTGTTATTCATGTCTCCGCACAATCCAGCCATTTGTCCATGATAATGTTTAGGTACAAAAATAGTCACTTTTCCATTTTCCTTCCAGATAATTTTCACACCAAGATTCGTAACAATAGTGATTGTAGAAGATCCAAATCTACTTACAAGTACATTTTTGGGGTTGCCATGAATATAAGGAAGTTTTACAGGTACACCTGAAATGGTTACCGAACCGCTGAAATCAATGTGTACAGTGATGCAATCTAGAGTGAGATAAATAGCTCGCCTTGTGAAATACTCATTATGTTCAACTTCCACTGAAAAGTGTCCAGTTGTATAATCTGTTGCCATGGAGTAACGACAGTCGCCATTTGAGATAAACGAGTGGTCATCAAATGTCCAGAGCTTTCCTTTTGGTAAGATGGTGCACCTCGCTGGCTCTACGAGTTAAATGAAGGTTTATTAGTTAAATATATATTATATATATTTACTCATCAATGTCATCAATCTAGATGGTATAACTTAAAAAACAGTTGCGGATATGGTATGTCGTTTGGTAATGTTTAATTTCAAATTAAATTCTAAAGGTTGAAAGTGACATTTGCATAAGAGTGCAAAGAGAATTTTTTTCTGAGAAATGTGAAGCTTGAAATTTTAAGTAATGACGAATTGTAGAACTGACGTGTGAGGTAGGATTGGATTGGATTAGATTGGATTTATTCGGTGTAAACACCAAGGATAGCCCACGAAAATCTAGAAGAAGACTTATTTCCATTGGGGTCCTTCTGGTGGTGATTGGGCAGTACACCGGCAGATAATCCCCTACTCTTTTCCGAAGAGTGTACTTCGTTCTTTAACGTGCACATGGGCCATAATGCACACGGGACCAACGGCTTAAACGTCTTACCCGAAAGACGGTGCAATTTATTTATTTATTTATTTGAACATACACCTTTGAATCGGTGGCACTCAATATCAATTGGTGCGTTCGTACAAACAAAAACAAAAAAGGGTAAAATTTAACAAACAAAATAAATAACAATCGACTGTATATAATATTACAAAATTAAAGAAAGGTAGAAAAATAACATATG